ATTTTCTACATAACAGATACATCATCTCATGACCATTTAGATCCAAGTACCTAAAAAGCAAACATGCAGGAAAACAAGGGAAAACTGACCTGATCTACTACTAGGAACACCCTGCATGTTTCTTGCCTTTTCTATTTTTTTTTTTTCTTTTGAGTTGGAGTCTCACGCTGTCTCCCAGACTGGAGTGCAGTGGTCGCTCCTGGCCACCGCAGCCTCGACCTGCTGGACTCCGGCGATCCTTCCGCCTCAGCCTTCCAAGTAGCTGGAACTACAGGTGCGTGCTACCACGCCCGGCTGATTTTTTATTTGTTGTAGAGATGAGGTCTCGTCAAGTTGCCCAGGCGGGTCTCGAACCCGCGGGCTCCGGCAATCCACCCACCTCGGCCTCCCAAAGGTGCGGGATTACAGGCTGAGCCACCGAGCCTGGCCTCTTGTCTTTTCTTTACCAAAATTAGGTGGCTATCTCCAAATGTTCAGAGTTGTGTTTTCCAATTTGCATTTCTAGGACTAGCACAGTCCTGGTATATAGAAGAAAATCAATTTAGTCGCATACAGACTGTAAGGTAAACAAAACCAAACTAGGCGAAAAGGCAACAAAGGAGCCAAGATAAATTTATTAGCACAATCCCAGGCGAGATTCCCCGGTCCATGTGACTGTGGGCCAGAGAAGTCGCGCCCAGGGGGATGAGCCATGGGTTTATAAAGGGCACACTGAGGAAGCTGTGAGGGGGCTGGGGGAGAGCGATCACTGGTTGGGACTGCTGTCGCGTCTGCTGGCGATTGGCTGAACGGGGTTCCTAGAGTCGCTGTAACAGGTGCTGGCTGGCTTTGCGGCTGGAGTCTTAGTTCCGGTTACTCATTTTTGCTGGTTCTGCCCATGGTTCTCCTAGTCCAGGTTGAAGCCACCTTGTTGAGGCCCGCCCCGCCTTCGGTAGCTCCGGCCTTACACAAACTACTCCATAAACACTCAATGGTGTATATCTTTCTAATGTTTAAATAAGGAAAATGTGTACTGAGATGGGGGGCACACAACAAATGTCATTTAAAATGAATTCTCTAGAAAAATTGTTCTTGACCCTAAAGGATGTTGAGTAGATTGATAAGGTCAGCATAGTCATGTCCCTTAAGGAACTGGCATAAGCAGACATACTCTTAGTCAAGGCATGACTGAGGACCAAAAGTGGTGAACTTCACTGTCAGAACTCTAAAAGTAAAGAAACTGGCCGGGCGCAGTGGCTTAAGTCTGTAATCTCAGCATTTTGGGAGACAGAAGTGAGAGGATAGCCTGAGCTCAGGAGTTCAAGACCAACCTGAGCAATATGGCAAGACTTCGGCTCTACAATAAATAAATAAAAATTAGCTGGACATGGTTGTACACGCCTGTGGTTCCAGCTACTTGGAAGTATGAGTTGGAAGGATCACCTGAGTCTAGTAAGTCGAGGTTGTGGTGGCCATGAGCATGCCACTGTGCTCCAGTCTGGGCAACAGAGTGAGACTCTAACTCAAAAAAAAAAAAAAAAGAAAAGAAAAAGAAAGAAAGAAAAAAATGAAAGTAGAGAAACTAATTCTAACTGGGAGAGTAAAAGAAAAATTCACTCAAATTGCAGTAAAACAGGCATCACAACTATGAAAAATACCACTATGGAAAGAAAGCTGGTAGAATTGATTGAAGGTCCTCAAAAGAAACTCAAGAAATTGGACAATCAGGTTATGTAAAGGCATGCACCATAATAAAAAATAAATAAATTTAAAAGGTGGGGGTAACAATATATAATTTTTTTTTTTTGAGTTGGAGTCTCACTCTGTCACCCAGACTGGAGTGCAGTGGCCGCTCCCGGCCACCGCAGCCTCGACCTGCTGGACTCCGGCAATCCTTCCACCTCAGCATTCCAAGTAGCCGGAATTACAGGCATGCGCTACCACGCCCGGCTGATTTTTTTATTTATTGTAGAGATGAGTTCTCGCTGCCCAGGCGGGTCTCGAACCCGCAGGCTCAGTCAATCCACTCACCTCAGCCTCCCAAAGGCGTGGGATTACAGGCTGAGCCACCGAGCCTGGCTTATATAAATTATTTTTAAGCTTTCTCTAGTAAACCCTGGTAGTTTCCTTCTTGAATGAAGGTGTAAACCCACAATGAAAAAAAATATATATATAAAACACTTGTGCATTTGTATATATGTGTGTGTATATATAAACACACATGAATACACAGAAATAAAATAAAAACTGCCTGCGTTATTCAATCTCCTGGAAGACAAAAGAAGAATAATATCTTTGAGGTGACTATTTTGTTTTTTCCCAAATGTGGGCTGAAATTTGTTTACCTGGATATGTTGCAAAGAGTTCAGGAAAAAAATGAAAAAAAAAAAAAAAAATACCTCTCTAAAGAAAAGGTGACGATTATAAAAGTCAAATGCAAGTGGATGAGATTGACTTGATATTACACAAATTAAGAATAAAACACTCACATTTCAATGTCACACTCTGAATTTGGCACAAAGAAAACTGAAGAAACCAAGGTCAAGTGATGTGATTTTCACTAATTCTCAGTCTGGCACATCATATCACTGTGGCCATGATTATTCCATCTGAGGATCTGTCAATTAAATGTTCTCATTTACACATTATCTTTTCTGTATACAGAGAATAACTATTCCATGACCAAAATACTTGTTTTTCTTATACACACCCACATCACATTATATTTTTCAAGTTGTTAAAAATGTTATCTGTGAGGAGACTGCAAAGCGATAGAACCCCAAGGACACATAAAACATAATTTCTGCCACTATTAAAAAGATAAAGTGTATGTACAAAACACACACACCATACAAGCTTTTAATGTTAATCTGTGAAGTAGAATGCTCTATGGGATAACTTACATTTATTCAATTTTATTTTAAACAATTGAATTTTTGTTATTATTCTTTTGAAAAGTGAACAATCGCCAAACAGGCTCATCTAAATGCTTTTCTATGTTTTTTCTGTGAGGAGCCAAAATAAATAATAAATATTTATAATTTATTTCAATGACAGAACATACATTTATTCATAGAGAGCATTTAAAACAATAATCAGTAATTTCCTACACATTTTAAGGGTCATAAAGTGCCCAATTTTAATAATGGGTTTAAACAAATGTATTTTGAGTTGCAGACAAATGTAATACACTCACAGAATTACAAACCTGCTTGCTCAAAGTCATCAGCCTTCATGAGACTGAAACCTTGCTCTTCCCTCAGAGACTATCACTAGGTGGAGTAAGGATGTGATTTCCTGGTGGGAGGGTAAGACTGTGGGGACAGATGTACGTTTCACCAATGACCAGTTTTAAGGAATTCACCCCAAATTTTTCATGATGAACATTAAAAAAACACATCATCACGCACTTTTCTTGCCTGAGTTTGGGTAAGTAAACAAACACTTTGATTCTAGAGTTTTCAGAGAGCAGGCAGAAAAAAATTAAGAATAAAAATACTGGCTTCAAAACGTTTAGAAGTCCTTCAATACATAATACAGCCAAGGAATACTCGTATGATGAAATGGAGATACATATTTTAAAATCATTTTGACAGATAATTGTATTCAGATTTCATAATAACCTTATACAGACTAAAGCTGTTCAGTCCCATAAACTGGCTAGTTACAGATAATAACAGTACGCTAGAAGATTTGTTTCATTCCCTTTGTTTCTGACTCTCCATTTTGAGAATAGCATTTCCCTAATCTATCCCCTTTAAACCAGCTACAGAGAATTCCAGAAATAAGCAGCAAGAAAGATTCAGATGTACCATATCATTATGTATTTGTATTAGTGGTTCTCAGGAGTTTCTGGATTCAAAGCTTGAGATTTGCATTTAGAAGTCAGGCTAGTATCCATAGAACTTATTTTAACAGCAAGACATCCTACGGCAGCTGATTTGCCGAACACAAGACTCCTTTCTCCAGCAATTATTTCCAGCACTCAGGATCTATTTAAATGCAGCACCCACAAATTGGAATTTCTGAAGACTGAAACAAATGCACCGCTGAAATGTCCTCCGTTCCGTCTAAAGTAGTGGCAGTGGGATTTGGAGGAAAATTTATAAAAGTCAGTGGTTCTCAAACTCAAAATCCCCTGTGACTTGTATAAATTACTGAATATTGAAATCCAGTCTTAAAAAAAAAGAATCTGATTTATTACGTCTAGAATTGAGTCCCTGGAGTTAGGATATATTTTTTAAGAACATCTAAGTATACTATTTAAAAAATGTACATTAAGATTCTAGTGTACAACCAGTGTTGAAAGCTACGGACTTTTTTTTTTTTTTAAGTACTTTACTGAGGATAATATTTATATCCCACGAGAAAGTATTTTTCATATCAAACTTGTGGTGTTTATTGAAATGTAATGTAGGATATTTTATTTTAACTTATTCCAAAATTATGTTATTTTGTTTTGCTCTGGGTGTAGATGATCCTGCCTAAGATACAACTAGGAGCCGGGCTCGGTGGCTCAGCCTGTAATCCTGTGCCTTTGGGGTGCTGAGGTGAATGGATTGTCTGAGCCCACGGGTTTGAGACCTGCCTGAGCAACATGGAGAGCCCGCATCTCTACAATAAATAAATAAATAAATTAGCCGGGCGTGGTAGCATGCTCCTGTAGTTCCAGTTATTTGGAAGGCTGAGATGGAATGATCGCCGGATCCCAGCAGGTCGAGGCTGCGGTGGCTGGGAGCAGCCACTGCACTCCAGTCTGGGCAACAGAGTGAGACTCCAACTCAAAAAAAAAAAAGAAAAAAGAAAAAAATAACTAGGTTCTCTACTACAGAACAATACTCTTCCAACATTCAAGTGACAGTGAAGACTTTACAAAGTGGGTTGCTATCTTTCACTTTCTCCCAAATTTTTCAATGAAATTGGTAGCATTTTGGGGTCCATTCTGGTGATGACATGAAAGTGAAATTAAATAAAGTAGCACATCCCTTGATGTTAGTTTTCAAAACACAGATATAACGTACCTTGCTTTTCGCCCTTGCATCTGGAAGCTTAGAGGCAACTGTCCTGGGTGGAAGTAACATCTGAGTTGGATTTGACGTGATCAGACTCAGAGGAGGAGGAGACTGATCACGGAAAACGGATGTCAAACACAGTTGCACGGTCTCTTTCATTGCCTTCATCTGTGACTCCTACAATGAAAAATAAATAAGTAAAGCATCGTTATTTTTTACACGTGGCTCTGGTCATCAATTACTTGCATTCATTCCCCCTTTCCTCCTAGCCTACCCTCACTTGTCACAAAAATACACATTGGTTTTCAAATGTAATGAGCTAATTTATAAATTTCATTATGACATATCATTTAATTCACACTATGTCTGTTTCTAGGAGCGAATGCATTTCATGATATATTTGGAACACCAAAGTTCAGAGATATTTCTGACTTTTTTTCCTTGAATTGACATGACCTCCATCGTCAAATTTTACTGGCAAGGAAACATCCTTTAAGTGACGCTGATGTGGAATACGTCATTCTTAGGAGCGTTCTTTATTTAGATTCACTTCCCTGACAATGTAGATACCTAGATTAGCCTATATTTCCACTCGACGTCACCCCACATAACAGTAAAAATAAATGCTCATTTCCTCTAGGACTTTTTAGGTAAAGGAGTCAATCTCATCTGATAAAAAGGATAACATTAACACTTTCTTATATTAGCCTAGAATACCTCAATATCCCAAGCATAATCACCTGCAAAAATAATTGTATGCTTTCAAACACCTGTAAAATTGGCATTATTATTACTACTTTACTATAAAGAATGGAAGATTAAAGTTTTCACACAGATTTCTGATTTAGAACAGAAGGCATACAGATAATAAAGATAGATAAATAATAGATGATAGGTAGGTACTTAGATAGATGATAGATATAACTGTGTCCAAATGAAAGTGGGATCTCCTGTTACAAAAATAAAGAAACCTAAATGATTTGGGAAAACTCATGGGCTGCTTATCTGGCAGCTAAGGGGCAATGTGAGGCACAGACTGATAAGACAATGTTTCATGTTATCCGTTTAAAGTCATGAGTTGTGGCCTTTGGGCCACAAAAAATGAGAGAAGTTAGTTCCTGGGGCCAGAATTCATGAACGAGCTGGCCCACAAGTAGAATTTACCTTTTTAGTTCAGCCGTGCACCAGTAAAGCAGCAAGGTCTGTTGTCTGTGCTTAACAAAACTACTGTATTGTTTATATTATACCAGGAATATGCTTTCATGTACCACTCAATTCTGTTTTCTTTTTCTGTACTTCAATGCCTTCGTGGTCAATTCCTTGAGAGTTGACTTAAATCCTTCCCCAAACCTGCCACTGTGCTTTCTACTCTTACGTGGTATGCGGTAATATTTAAATTTAGGAAGAGGATGTCTATTGGTAGAATAGCAATTCAATAAATCTCTTTTTTCTTTCTTTTTTGGCTATGTCTTGAGATTAAAAAAAAAAGAGCAATAACAGAAGCAGGTAGGGATATATTACAAATAATACTGACATGCATTTCCTTCTTATTAATCTTGCCCTGTCAATTTGTCTAACACAAAATAAGAACCTCTTAATGCCTAAGACGGAGGAGTGTTAATAAGTGGGCAAGAGAGTGTTAATCTGAGTGATGACATTTTGGAATTTATTTTACTTTATTTTATTTTACTATAAAAAGTCCCTTAATCGGTATTGTAGTTACTGTCTTCTTATCTTTGCTCCACTTAACATATCACATATCTAAACATTGGATTTATAAGAAGCTTAAGGTATATGTAGGCATAATAGACAACTATGTTTGAATAATTATTGAATTCGGAAGCTGAAAATAAGTAGGAAACAGTTTCTAGTTAATGACTTTTAATATCAATTTTTAGTAAATGTTATTTGAGTACTACACTTATTTCAGTGGAACATTGAATAGGATGTGCATATATATTAGATTTCTAATTATCTCAACTTTGGTGCAGTCCCACAGGTCTCCTGATTTTGCCAGGATCACCTCAAATTAAGAAAGTCAGCATCACAGAATGTCATCTTCAACTTCTCTCCTTTCACAGCCATATTGTGAACTATCTGTTTTTATGTTTTGACCTATTCTTAACCTCTTAGTTTCGAACTTAATTTCATTTTTAGACCACAAAATGGCAACATGGCCTTCTTTCTTAGATTCTGGTTTCAGTCTTTGATTGCATTGTAGACTTTTTTTTTCCCCCTGTCAGAGATTACAGATTGCTGTGAGCAGCCATGCCCTAATTTGGTCATGTTTCTCCTTAATCCCCATTAATTACCTCTAAATTAATAGAGCCTATTACTTATGCTGCTTGGGTTTGGCTTGACCCAATTCCAGGAGCAAAACCCAAAGAATAACTTTACACCACCATGTCACTCCTTTTTCATTTATGCTGCTAGGTGTCATGTGTTTTGAACTGCAGGCTACTGTTCACTTTGAAGTTTACTCAAACATGATGTCACCTAATAAAATATGATGTAAACCATGAACATTCTTGTTTTTTGCCCGTTTTGTTCACTCCAGCAAACCATTTTTCTCACTTGTTTTATCACATGGTAATAAAATGAAATCTCCCTAACTAAAGTGCTCTGTTTAACACAATGTCCATTATTTGTAGCTCCTCCATCCCAATCTCATTCCCATCTCAGAGCTTTTAGATATACTGTCTCCTCTGCCTGCAGATCTAGTCTTCCAAATAGCCACACTGAAACCGCCACTCTAAGTGGATGTCTAAGATATGTGGGCAGTCAACAGACACATGAAAAAAAATGCTCAGCCTCACTAATCATAAGAGAAATGCAAATTAAAACCACATTGAGATACCACCTAGCCCCAGTAAGAATGACTATCAATAATAAAACAAACAACAGCAAATATTGATGAGAATGTTGAGAAAAAGGAACACTTGCACATTTCTGATGCAAATGCAAACTAGTGCAATCTCTTTGGAAATTGGTGTAGTGGTTTCTAAAAGAACTAGAAATCGACCTTCCATATGACACAGCAATCCTCCTACTGGGTATACACCCAGAGGAACTCAAAGTATTCTATAAAAACATAACTGCATGTGCATGCTTGTTGCAGCACTATTCCCAATAGCAAAGACAGAACCAACCATGCTGCCTATGGAAACTGAACTGGCTAAAAAAAAAAAAAATGTGGTGCATATACAGTATGAAATATTACACAATCATAAAGAAGGAAAAACATACGGACTTTGCAACAACTTCGATGGATTTAGAGTCTATCATCCTGAGTGATCTATCACAGAAACAAAGAACAGAGTACCACATATTATCACTCATAAGTGGACCCTGAACATTTACTATAATACTACAAGAAAAGTATTGACAGTAGCGGGATATTAGCAGGAAGACACAACTTCAGTAAGAGTCCCTGATCTCAAACCAGGCAAAGTAGGGACCAAAAGGAGACCCAAACGTTACCTGTGTGATGTCCACTTGTAGACCTAATCCTGAATTATACCCCACATCTTTAAAATAATATATATATATTGGAAAAAGCTCCGGTCACCCTTTCCAGGAATACTTCTTCCTTAAAATCTGCATTATATTTTCTAATTTTATGTCTTATTTAACCCTTACCATCATTTCAAATCACCTTATTTTTTATATGTTTATTTGTTCTTGTTTTTGTTTTTGTTTTTTGAGTTGGAGTCTCACTCTGTCATCTGGGCTGAAGTGCAGTGGCAAGCTCATGGCCACCACAGCCTTGACCTGCTGGGCTCAGGTGATCCTTCCTCCTCAACCTTCCAAGTAGCTAGAACTACAGGCATGCACCACCACGCCCGGCTAATTTTTCTTGATTTATTTTAGAGATGAGGTCTCACCAAGTTTCCTAGGCTGGTCTCAAACTCATGGACTCAGGCAATCATCTCATATCGGCCTCCCAAAGTGCTAGGATTATAGACGTGAGCCACCACACCCAGACTACTATTTATTTTTAACAGTATGGAACTTATTTGTGGGCTGGTGCCTCTTTTGTCTCATCACCAGTTTATAGTTTAATATAAAGCAAATCCTCCAGAGGCTGCAGGCCAGTTACATGAAAAAATAATAAGATAGTTCTCATTTTATTTTGTGCATTTGATAAGAACATTATCATTTCAGATATAAAAATACCAGCATTTGTGCTATGTAATATAAAAAACATAGGAAATAATTGCTTATACTCGCACACAATCTTAAGAAAGTGAGAGATTTAGAAGGTGTTTTTTTGTGTGTGTACATTAGTACTTTTCTCAGAAAAATGCATTTTGCTCTTGAAAGGACAGTGGTGCCCCTAATTTCTACTCTCTAGAAAAATAAAAATTAATGAGATAATTGTCATTTTAATCTTAATTTTTGTACTTGAAGACACTAACTTCTCAGCTGATAATTTTGAAAAGACCATGAGGTTTTGAAAAGACCATGGGGCTGTGAAGCCAAAGACTTTCTCCCCAACTTGATTTCTGTTGTGAGATCAGCTCGATATGCCCTTGCAGGCATTCGATGTTTTTATATCTCTGCTGTAGTGATTTTTAGGTCCCTTGTGTTTAGAGCAACTAGCATGTTCATTCATTTACATCAGGTCTTATTCAAGTACTTAACTATAAACTATTTATCACACTACTGCTAGGTGCCAGTAACATTCTGTTACTACTTAGTTATGGGAATTTGTATACATTATCAACAGTGAGTCACCTGTACTATGAAAGTAATCATGCATGCTTTCCTGGGAGAAGTTTTGTGAGGGTCAGATGCTATATACAAATTTTTTTGTGGATATTTGATTTTCATACCATAAAACTGTTTTTATGTTCCTGTAGCTAAGGCTAACTATATACAATTCATGAGATATTGCCAAATAAATGATTGTTTGGAAGCCCAAGATTGATTCTTCGCCCTTGATATTATTATTATTGTTTATATTGGGATTACAAACTGAGATTTCTTTCTTTAAATACGTGATGAGAAATAAGTTGTACTGTGAAGACATTATTCTCATATTATTTTAAAGGTATTTTAGGTTATATGTAACCCAGATATAACACTCTTAAGAGTTACTAATCTGAAATGTATAAAAAAGTCTCATATAAAAATGATAGAGAGAGGTGGAGAACAATTTCATTAAAGTGTAATTTGTATCCATTTTGAAGTAAGCTAGCAATTCTTCCTGACTTTATGGCTGTGGTTCATGAGTCTCATATGTATTATACATGAGATTTATTAAAAATCACCCTCCAGTAATACGAGGTGCTTTTATAGTTACCTAAAGGAGTTGCAAGATTCTGAAGGTTAAAGAGGGAATAGTTATTGCAGAGAAACAATCTCTGTGATCTCGTTCACTAACAACAAGGCCTAAGCTTACTGGGTGTCTTGCAGGCATTGTTCCTAGTTCTTTACTTTTTGGATGCATATCATTTTCCCATCACCCTTAAAAAGTAAAGTGTATTATTAGTCTCACTGAGACAAAAAGAGTTTGAAGGATTTGAACATGGTCATTCTGTGGAAGTGTTATTATCTGAGCACAGGCAGAGTGATGCTGATGGCCATCACTTAACCACTGCAACATCCAGCCTTCCGTCCTGAAATCTGAACTGCCGTATGGCATGGACTGGGTAAATAACAATGGGGGTTGGGAAACGAAATTGGAAAGAAGGAAAACACAGAATGGGTAAGAATGAGTGAAACTAAAGATGAAGGAGCAATTCTACATTAATCTGAGTTCTGTGTGATTAGACCATTCCTTATGAACCACAGGAACTTACAAAATACAGATTCATTCTCTATACTTCTATCGCCTCACTCATGTATCAGCATAAAATTGTTTCCTAATTGTTGATGCTCAACAAAATTGTCAGAGATGTGGAACCCAAGATTGTGTCTCTATTTTTTATTTCCCAGAGCACCTAGCAAAGGATGGTCACACAAAAGGCATTTCAAAGCTATTTAGTCACTGACTGACTAAAGAGTTATATGAAGTAAAAACAAGGAAAACATTTAACGGGAGGAAGAATGCTCTAAGAGTCAGAGATGGTAAAAACTCAGAAAACACCTGGCTGATTCAGAATCATGGAAATTCAGTGTCTTTCTAGGACTTACAGTGTACTGTACAGAATTTGGTAGTAATGACAGAATTTTTTTTTTAAAGATGTCTAGTTGAAATTTAGGATTATAGATGCCTTCAATTTTTCGATTCCATAGATTCCATGATGAGCCACATATCTTTAACAAAGTAATATTTTGTAGCATGAGTTGGATATGGTCAGAGATTAGCATAAATTGGTATAAATTTATTTGTTATAAATTTAAAAAAATCTATAAAGTTGGGAGCTTGGTAAGGTGATATATACTGGACTTAATCCACAAAATAGCAGGCAGACTTCCCTAAAACTATTAAATATCAATGATTTGCATCAATTAATACATAAAAAGACAATAACAAAGGAGTAAAGTTGTTAAAGGGTCTAATTATTCTTTCAAAGTCCTCACTTGTTCCAAAGTTCTAAATAAATGGCATTAGTATTCACAAAATGTCTTAAAAATTCCACTACCACAAGGCATTCTAGATATCTATTTGTTAAGTTTGCTGTTACCTATGAAATTTTGATCATACCAAAGTGAGGAAATAAGTCTCTGTGAGACACGAGTCTCTGAAAAGGAAAACTTTAACCTGGTCCTTCATATCACTTTTTAATAAGGATTCTGTGGAAAATACTAGAAGAACTCCAAGAGAAACAGCCTTACATGTTCTATCTCCTTTATCTTATACCAAAGCACCTATAGTTCAAATTGGTGGTTACGGGATGGCCTCCTATATTTACAAATTGCTAAATATATACAGCATATTATTAAAAAAGAAGTCTATAATGCAGTCATATTAATTGCTTAATTGCCTCAGTAAAGTTTTTACTAAGCTGTGCAAACAGAATACTTTCATTAAATTTAAAAAAACATAAGGGCATATAGAGAGCAAAATAATATCAGGTAAATATCAATCTGAATTAAGTGTTAAAAAGCATAATTTTGGTAATATAATATATATTATTTGTCATATATAATGTTATACTGTATAAAATTTTATAAAATATTTTTATGTATACACATACATATAGGAAATATATGCTATATAATATACATTATATATGTATTATATATTTAACATATATACATATATAATGCATATAGATAATACGATATATATGTGATTGTATAAATTCAAGATTATTTGCATCTCTGCAATTACTGGAGTATAACATACTTGGGATATAGACGTGCAATTTGTCAGCATCCTTAGTGTCATTTTAATTAGTCTTTCCACAAAAGGCAATTGTACTCATGAATTTTATGTGTACATATCTTGTGTTTCATCTATTTATGTTTATGTAATTTTTTAAAATGTGTTTTGCATATCTGAGCAACGTTAAGCTATTATAAATAATTCTGATTTCACCAATGTTATATCTGTATATTAATATTAATCCAAATTAATATTGCATTTTGATTATCATTTCAAAAATAAAGTGTAGAAAATATGTATACTAATTATTCTAATAGAAAGCAGCTAAACTAGTTTCATTTAATATATTTTTCTTTTAAATTAATACAAACATTGCTACATTTACTGGCCTTGTGCATAATTCGAAGTAGACATGGGTAAGTAAGCATTCTAAGATATTCACACTTAAAAACTGGTTATAACAATTTGATGTCAATGATTACCTTTATTAGCTTCATAACTCATTTATACAGAGTTAATATATGGCATCTTCATTGGAACTTTAAAGCATATTTATGCCTGGTGTTATAGAACTAACATATCAGTTAAGGTGATTAATGAAGCCATAAACTCACAAAGACCTAGACTTCAGTCAATTTACTATAGCAGGAAAAACAAAGAAAGATTTGGATCCCCAAAATAATATCACATATTCCTGAATTCTTTAACTGTCTTTTATGCACAGCATTTGGAGTTGCATTAATAAATCAAAAGAAGCAATGAACCTACTTTTTTTTTATAAAGCCAAAGTTGTAATATTTCATGGATGTAAACTTACCCTGTCAAGAGCTGCTTTCTCTAATTCATTTTTGGCAACAGCTAATTTTTGTTCCAGATCTGTGAGCTGTTGGGCCTGTAAAATAAAAAAAAAGATAAATGCTTTTCAGTAAATTCTATGATTTCTCTTTCTACTTTAAGTATCAGTCATTCATTGCCAAAGAATATGTCTAAAAATAAAAGAACAAAACATTGTTTTGTAAGCTTCATTTAGAATTCATGCTCAAAATACTGTATAGCACGATCATTTGAACAATGTGCGGAAAATGGTACATTCTGAATAAATATACACTAAGTGCTTCACTAGACCAAAATATTCAGTTTCACAGATATAACTCAAGTCCTTAAAAATACCTGTGATTTAAACCTATCACTTATATTTCTAGTTGGTATAGACTGAACTTTATTTTCCTAAAATTCATAAGTTGAATCCCTATCACATCAATGTGGCTGTATTTGGAGAAAGGGCCTTCCTGGGGCAATTAAGGTTAAGTGAAGTCACAAGAAAGAGGCCCTAATTCCTTAGGACACATGTTCTCATAATGAAAACACACACACACACACACACACACACACACACACACACACACACACACACAAACGCGTGTGTCTGTGTATATATATTTCTGAGTTCACAGGGGAACAGGCCATGTGAAATAGAGAGAAGATACTGTGTGCAAGTTAGGAAGAGCCCTCACCAGAAACCAAATACATGAATACCTAATTCTGAGACTTCTAGTGCCCAGAAATATGAGAAAAATACACTTCTGTTGTTTTAACCATGTAGACTAAGGTATTTTGTTATAGCATCCCAAGCAGACTAACGTGCTAGTATTCACTCTGTACTTATTATTGAATGATAACCAGTAAAAAAGGTATGCTAGGGCACTTCTCTATCCTAGCATACCTCTGTACCATTGTAATTGCCATAATGGTATTGTTAAAAGTAAAAAGCATCGACTTTAGATTAGGAAGGCATATATTCAAATCTCACCCCTACCACTTACTAACTGTATTGTCTTTGATGAAGTACTTGGCTTTTCTAAATCAGAAATTATACTTTTCTATACCATACTACCAGGTCGCAAATGAGAAATATGAAGTGAAAATTCCATTATCAGCGTACTTGTAGCATTTGCAACACCTTGGTTCATTCTATTATCATTTCATTTTTCCATTCATCCTTTAATTAATCCCCATCCCCATCATCTCTACTATTCCAGGCATTGTGCTATGTGCTAGACACTGGGAATTACAGACATTACTTAAAAAAAAAAAAGTATTTCTCCTGAATAAGTAAAAAAAACTTATTTTCTCAACTTGTTTATTTTGATTGTGGTAAACTATTGAGAGTGAGAATAATTAAATGCATTTATCTTAATTTGCTTTAAAAATGCTGCCATTTTATTAGCAATGAAAATGCATTCAATCATTTCATAATTCAAAAAATTGCTGAACTTTAAATTTAAATTAAAAAAAAAACAGTCTCTGTACTAAGGGTATAATGATGAAGAAAAAAAATTCCCTGTCCTTAAACAGAGACTGGATATACGTTGTAAGATCAGAGAGTGACAATCACTATCAAGAAAATAAAGCTAGGACAGGAAATAGACAATGTGAGAGGTTGTACTAATGGCCAGCATCCCAAACCTTCATCTCCCTTCTTGCTTTAACCACATCCTTGGCTATGTGACTTTTACAACAGTTCCGTCAAGAGGTAAAGTATATTTGCCTTTCTTCTGATTCTGATTGAAAGTTACTTGGTCAATGAAATGCAAATGACTTTTATGATATTGGATGTGGTTTCTGGCCCTTCTGACATCTCCATGAGAAGGACTTGTGACTTTTAAGGTAGTTTTCTCAAGAGGAAAAGTATATTTACTTTTCTTCTGATTCTGATTGAAACTTGGTCAATGAAACGCAAATGACTCATGATACTGGACGTGGTTTCTGGCTCTTCTGATATCTCCACAAGAAGGACATGACTGATCTAACCCGCTGAAGCAGAGCTGCCCCAGGTAGATCCCTGTGATTAAGCCTAGATTAGAGTCAAGCTGCTGGTGAATGAGTCACCCAAGATCACTGACCTCCAGCCAACCCACATATGTGTACAATGTATTGATAAACGATAGTTGCATTCAGTCTCTAAGTTTGGGTTTTCTGTTTCACAGTAAAAGCTAATTGATATAGATAAGAGTTGTCAAGAAAACTGTTCGGACAATATAAATTTTAGTAGACACAGAAATGATGAGAAGAAGCAAATCATGCTTAGAATTGTTGAGAACTAGCAATAGAAATACACGTATTACTTGTAGTGAAGGGCAAAGGCAGACTATTCAGAGCATATTGAGCAAAAGCCAAGCAGTATGAAAGAAACACAGGGAAGGGAAAATAGTATAGTACCTTATTTGCCATGGTAATAATATTAGTTTAAATCACTGAACAAACAAGAAATAGAAGAGGATTCCAAAATTAAATTTAAATTGCATGTATTCCATTTTATGAGCAGAAATGTTATCCGCCATAAATACATAGGACTACTTATGCATAATTCTCTCCTTTTTTTCTGTGCAAGAAAATGCTAGCTTCTGAAATTGTACATGGCTATTGAACAGTGTTTACTCTCATTTTAGAGAAACAACAGAACAGCGATGACAGGAGATGAACTCAGAATTCGAAAACTGGAATTTGAGTTCTAGTTCTTACCCCTTACTAACTTTAAACACTTGGGGCAAGATATTTAACCACCCCCTGCTTCAGTTTTCTCTTCTATAAACATGAAGATGGGGGCAACCCCATCGGATCCCCTCCCGCTGTGAGAGTTTTTTGTCCTCTCAATAAATTCTGCTTTCTCAAAAAAAAAAAAAAAGATGAAGATAGAAATAGTACTCGCCTTATAATCTTGTTAAGCAAATTAAATAAGTTAATATCTATAAAATTCTTAGAATAGCACCAGGCCCATAGTAATATATGAATATTTGATCAGTGATATAGTTTATTTACCTGCCACAAATACACCATAAAATATAGCTCTTTAGGAAGCTTGCATAAAGGCAAGAAGAGTAAACTGAACAATATCCTACATCCTTAAAATAAAAATAAGAAAAGAAAAAAGAACAGAATAAAGTTTAATTGCAATGCATTCCCAGGATTTCAATTAGTTACTCTTTCTAGAAACTTACAGAACCTGGTAAAATCCAGCCAAGAAATCTCAGGCAGCAGAAGGTTACACAAAAGGCAGAGAAGAGTAATATTCTGCCATCATAAAGGACAAAATTATGAACTTCACAGCAACTTGGATGGACTTAGAAGCTATAATACTGAGTGATCTATCACAGAAACAAAGAACTGAGTATCCCACATTCTCACTCATAAGTGGACCTTGAACAATTAGTGTAATACTATAAGAAAACGATTGTCAGTAGTGAGAAACTGCTCGGGGAGTGGAACAGGATTGGCAGTAGTGGGAATCTGCCAGGGGAGAGGGGACACACCCTATCAACAAGAGTACCTGCATAATGAACATTTGTATACCTAATCTTGAATTGTACCCCACATTTTCAAAATTAAAAATTAAAAAAAATAAGAAAAATAAAGAGTAATCACAGAAATTGCAGATACTGCCTCCTATCTTGTGATACTTTGGTCTTAGTTTGGAAAGAATCAGATGTTGGATTACATCACAAATAGTGGCCATTAAATTATATATGACAAGAACATTGTATGAATGTCAAACCATCAGAAGATCTAGAAAAGACAGGAGACTTTACCAGATAGTGAATGTATTAGATATAAGTAAATTGAGTTAAATTGAGAAAGCCCAATCTCTTATAAAGTAAAGAACACGATTGATTCAGAAACTCTAGCAATAGTTAAGACTAGCTTTCAATCACATTCAATCATTAAATAATATTTTATGATGTGATTCATTGTTCTCTGACTAGGAAACATCATTTGTATGCATACGGTTGAAAGTACACTTGGGAGGAAACAAGCATATAAAGTTAACATCATTGTATGAAGTTCTAGTTGCTAAAATGAAGTTGTGTGTAAGCTGAAACTGAGCAAAAAGGGAAGAACTTCCTCCTAATAAAAGTGACATCAAATGACTAGAACATTTTTTTACTTATATGTGCATTTACCATTCGAGACCTACAATAGATTTAGAAGCTAGGGTTCCTATCATCAATCTGAATTGACTTTAATAAAAAATTATCAAATCTAGAACTCCAAATTTTTATAAACCATAAAATTCTGGCATTTGGTGTGGCTCCTGGCCCAACTGATCTATGTGTGGTGCCCCGGGGGTGTTCCTTGTTATTTTTTTCTCAATAACTATCCTTAAATGGAGCTCAGTTATAAAGGATAGCACAAGTGGTGTGTTTAATACTCAAACTCTTTTTTCTTCTAAGAATCATCAAAGTGCAGCTGTGTTGTATGAAGCAGAAAAAAGGATATGAAGCTAGTTAGTCACATTTTATCTGAAATATCAATGAATCACTTTATAAAATGCTGACAAGTGGCTAAATTTGCAAGTTTCTAGTTCACCAGTCATACATTAGGTTTGTGGTTCGATATTTCTGTAAAACTCATTGATAAAATTTATTTTAATTCTTTCTTTACCCAATTTCCTGTATATAAGAATATCTATGTATCTTCATTTTAATTTTTCTAATTAATTTCACTGAGTTTTATAGAATATAAAAATATGTATGCCCTACTTTTCTCTAAAATGGACTTGAGACAATCTTACATTAAAAATAATAAAATATTAAACACAATTAGAGCATACTAGGTCTATGGGGAAAATGTGAAAATAGGTTTCATGAATGAGAAGTGAAGGTAGGGGTTGGGATAGCAGAAGGAGCACTAATAATGGGGTCATGACTTCCATCTATTTGTCTTGGTTGAACTGAGAATTCTGTTCCATGACTTTTGGCAGCCAGGTATAAAAGGTAATGCTGTTGGCTTGGAAATTCTCACAATCAAAGGTCATGAACAACCCAGAGACAAAGAAGGTGCAGAATGTTTCCAAGTAATAAGTCCTAAAGTAAAATTATTCAACTTAGCAAGCCA